GGTCCCTGGCCGTGCGCAGCGACTCCCGATCAGGGCTCCTGCTGGCTCTGATTTCGACCCACCCGACGTTGAGGGGCGACATCCACAACTACAAGCTCACCTCTGAGCAGGCCCAGAAGACGGCGAGGTCGCTGCGCGCGGAACCTAGCCTCAAAGAAGCCCAGCCAGAGCGCGCCCTTATTTTTGGCATGGGCGACTTCAATAAACTTCATGGACGAGGCCCCGCGGGAGATGCAGGTCTCGCTGGTGGGCAAGAGGCTTCTTCGACTGGGGCCTCGCAACCCCGAGCGCCGGCGCACTTGGCGGACTGCCCTCGAGCTGCTTGCAGATGTCGACTCCGAGGTCCCCGCCTACTGCGCGGAGCAGGCCCAGCAGTGCGCCAGGATTGACAATATCTACATCAGCACCCCGCCGTGGGTGCTCATTCAATGGCGCGCGAAATTGGGCGTCCCAGTAGCGCCTGTGGAGTTATGCGACCGGGGCATCTCGGACCGCGCCCCTGTCCACCTTCGTCTGGCTGCCCGCGGCCCCGAGGAGGATTGGAACGCCGGGCCCATTTCCCGCAGCGCATTTATGCTTCCGCCTCATACTTCCCAGATGATTCTCAAGCCTCAGGAGCCCAAATGAGACGACAGTTACGAGGTTCCGATTACCCGCTCGGATTAGTAACGTGATCTGCGGGCCCCATGAGGAGGGGGCTCCCGCCTGAGATTTCCTCGCAGTTCACTCACAGACGAGGCTCCCGCCGGATATTTCCCCCGTATGCATGCCCCACGAGCCCAAAAGTGACGACAGTTACAGGGTTCCGATGACCCGTTCGGATTAGTAACATGATCTGCGGGCCACATAGGGAGGGGGCTCCCGCTTGAGACTTCCTTGCGCTTCATTCACAGACGAGGCTCCCACCTGATACTTCCTCCATCTTCAAGCCGCAGGAGCCCATACGTGACAACAGTGACAGGGTTCCGATGACCCGCTCGGATTTGTAACATGATCTGCGGGCCCCATAGGGAAGGGGCTCCCGCTTGGGATTTCCTCGCAGTTCAGTCACAGACGTGGCCCCCGCCTGATATTCCCCCGATATTCAGGCTTCCGGAGCCCAGAAGTGACGACAGTTACAGGGTTCCGATGACCCATTCGGATTAGTAACAGGAGTTGCGTGCCTCATAGGGAGGGGATTCCCGCCTGAGATTTCCTGCAATTCACCCTCAGACGAGGCTCCCCCCTGAGACTTCCGCCATGCTCAAGCTTACGGGGGCCAAAAGTGACGACCGGTATTCGATTTCGATGACCCGTTCGGATTGCTCACATTAGTTGCGGGCCCCGTAGTGAGTCCGCTACCCCCTGAGACTTCCTCGTAGTTCGCTCACAAACGAAGCTCCCGCCTGAGATGAGATAAGTGAGTGAATGAGTGGGTGAGTGAGTGAATGATGATGACGATGATGATGACGATGGTGATGATGGTAATGGTGATGATGGTGATGATGAGAGTTTGAGTGGGTGAGTAAATGAGTGGGTAGGTGGGTGAGTGAGTGGGTGAGTGTGTGAGTGAGTGATGCTGTTGCTGAATGTGTGTGTGTGAGTGTGTGAGCGGGTGAGTGAGTGGGTGAGTGAGTGTGTGTGTGTGTGTATGTGTGCGAGTGTGTGATAGGGTGAGTGAGTGGGTGAGTGAGCGAGTGTGAGTGATGATGTGTGTGAGCGATTGAGTGATTGAGTGTGCGAGTAGAGAAGAGGAGATGGTGTGTTCTCTTGTTCTTTCGCGGGATGTCTAGAGACAACAAGAACTCTACTTTGGATGTGGGGAATAATCGTAGCATTAACGGTATTATTCATACACTATTATTCGTAATGCAGATACCAAGAAGATTAATGATACTATTCATCATGATGTGGTACATCATTTAAATTACGGTATGAATTATACTATTAATAAAGCGTTGGCTAATCATAGCACTACGGGTAATACTAATCTTATGAATAATAAGAAAACGGCGAATACGGATAGTATGAATAATAATATTTCTAATCATATTTTTAAATGTATTAATAAGACGAGTACTGATACTAAGACGAACCCTAGTTATAATACCAATCGTTTCAAAATACGAATGATGCAACTATGAGGAATATACACAACAATGAAGCTAATAGTAACTAGAATATTAAATATAGTAAAGGAACTACTGGTTAGAATGCTATGACTAAGAATAATACCAATAATGCGAGTGCTACGGATACAAATAACAATACCAATAATAATCATAATCGTAAGACGAAGAATCAGAGGAACAGTGATAATGATACCAAGAAGATGGCGAACATCAATACTGATGCTGTTGCTACTGGTGTTAGTAATAGAAATGCTAACAGTAACCGTAGCACTAACAATCGATACTAATACTACATATATGTATATATGTGATTCAGAATAAGAAGAGTAATACTAATGAAAAGAGGAGGAGGATGCGGAGGAGCAGGAGGAGGAGGAGGAGGAGGAGGAGGAGGAAGAGGAGGAGGAGGAGGAGGAGGGGGAGGTGGAGTGCGGAGAGGGGGGCCGCGATGCCCCGTCCACGCGCACCCCGCCCGCATCTTTGGCCCCAGCAGCTGGGGCCGCCTGCGGCGCAGGGCCCGTGCCCTCTCGGCCCGTTGGCCGCGGCGGTCCGCTGAGGAGGGCGCGGTCCAGGAAGTCGCGCGCTCCGCCGGCCGCTCGTGAGAGATCGGGGGGGTTTGGCGGCGCGTGCACGCGGGGGAGGGGAGGGGGGAAGGCGTCTTAGAAGGAGGTTGCTTCTTAGAAGGCGCCTTTTATGACGCAGGGGTGTTTCTAAGAAGCTTCCTCCCCTCCCTTACCCCCTGGTGCGCGCCGTCAGAGGGGGTGGCAGGGAATGCAAACCTTCCAGAAGGGGTCAGACCATATTCGGCGTTACCCCAACATACTTGTACTATGTGTGCGTCGCCCCCCAGGGGCGACGCGCGCGCTGAAAAATCGTATAGTACATGCTTCGTTGCGGGCGCTTTCTGGCCGTACCGCTCGGGGTGGGCAGGGAATCCCCCCCCCAGACGGGGTCAGAATCTACGGGGGCGGAGGGCACTCGTCTAGGCCTCTCAGATGGGGGTCCAAGTAGATCCCAGACGTGTTGGCGTCGTAGAAAAAACTCACGGCGGCATGCTTGTTCTTGCTTGCCATTCTCGTTTTTGGAGGGACCCTCGCCGGGCCCCGGGGCCGTCAAACATAGACCCGAACGGAGAGATGGCCCTGGGGAAAGGGTCGGGACTTCTGTGAACCGCATATTCACATCAGTTTGCCTGCTCCTTGTTCTGTCGGCGGAGCGGCCGGAGTCAAAACTGTGTACTTAAATTTGCCTTCGGCGGAGCGGCCGGAGTCAAAATTGTGTACATCAATTTGCCTGCTCCTTGATCTTCCTGCGCTGCTGGCAGGGCCTCGGGGTCCACCTCACGGGCACGGTGAGGGCCAATGTGTTGGTGGAAGCTGGTTTGCCGGAGCCTTGGAGGTATAAAACAAATCAAGACATCGCATGTCTGGGATGAGGTCGGAGAATCGCGCTGCATCGCCGATGCATCGACGATATGGATCGATGTGCAGCCATAGTTTCTCCACGCCGGCGTGGCCGAGGCATCGCAGACGTTGCCGATGTATCGGGGGGGCAGGGAAGGCCTTCTTGACGTGGGTGGGCTTCGATCTGTTCTGATCGCAGCGTCTGGATGGTGAGCAACAGCTGGCATGTAGTAAACATCGGCTTACAGTGGCCAACACATAAAGCTGCAAGCACATGCAGAAGATAACAGGGCCAAGAGCAATGGTAAAGACGAGGTGCCCGCCAGGGCGCAGAGTAGCTAAGCGAGCAGCCTGCGTCGGAGCTGGGGGGAACCAAGACCATGACCACACAACCTTAATTAGTCAAACCATAGGAGAACACCAGACGAGGAGGGACGAAATACATGTACAAGCGGGCGGCAGTGTGAAATGGGCAAGATGGCAGGGGAGGCCTCCTCCTCGCCCTCGTCCTCCCATGAGATCCTGGCGTCTCAATGTTTTCGAGTCGTGCGTTTTCGCCCGGCTTCGGGCCCAGGGGCCCTGCTGGATCGATGCGGCTTGAAAAACGGTGCAGAAAGATGGGGTCCAAGGCTCTGGCCGTGATTTCCGCGACGTGGCAACTTTTTCGCTACGTCGGATGTCAGGGTCGTCCCCCTCACCCAGACATGCTCGCGCCGTGAAAAGCTAACGACGCGAGGTTTCTGGTAGTTTTCGGCCTCCAGGGGCCCTCGCCGGGCCCCAGGGACCAGCAACAAATGATCCGGGATGAAAAAGCGGCCCTGGGGAAAGGATCGGCATTTCCTGGGGCCGCGTAACTCAACAAATCAAGACATCGCATGACTGGGTCCTCGTCCGCATCCTCCTCCCCTCTCCCTCCTCCCCGCGGTCAGGAACCAGGAACGTTTGCTCACAGTGCTGCGCCGTAGGTTCTGGCCCACCAGGCTTCCGCTCGACAAGCTGAGCACGTCCCGGTCCTCGAGCATCAAACGTTCCAAGCTCTTCCCAGCCCCACGACGCAGAGCCACACGCCGTGAGCCTGCGAGGCATAGCGTCTCGCAGGGGCCGCCGCCGCGACACGCCGATCAGAGGAGGAGGAGGAGGAGGAGGAGGAGGAGGAGGAGGAGGAGGAGGAGCTCCTGGCTGTAGAGCCCCCGCGAGCACGCGGCCCTCGAAGACCGGGGGGGTGATCGGTCACGCAGCGGGCGGCGCCACGGTTCGGATCCGGGGGCCCAGCCCCCTCGAGATTGGCAGGCCGCGCAGAGGTGCGGTCGGAGCACTCTGCGGCATCTTCTCTCGTCGGCGCCTGCCTTCTCGGCAGCATCCAGCAGAGCTGGCCTTGTGTCTTCCTCTTCCTCCTCCTCCTCGTCCTCCCCATCTCGCCTCGCTCCGTAGCCATTTTGGCTCGAGCCGTTCTGGCTCAAGTAGCACATTTGTCGAGGTGGCGGAGGGCCAAGCCAGCTCGAGGGACACAGGTGCTCGCCCGAGCAGTCCCTGGGAGCCGTACTTCTTTCGGCTTCCATGCATTTGACTCCCCATACTGTTGGGGTGCAGTCGTCTCTCCATCATGGATGCACAGATGCAGGCTGCTATCGCTGCTTCCATCCAGGCAGCCATGGCGTCGGCAACAGCAGCGATCATTCAGCAATTGGACGACGAGTTCACCGCCGTAAACGCCACCTCCAAGGAGCACGACGAGGCGATTGCCGAACAGAGGGACTCCTTGGCGCAGGCCATCAAGACGGTCAATCAGATGCAAGCAGGAGGAGCAGGAGGAGCAGCATCGAGTGCATCGGCAGTCAGTGGATCCACAAGAGTTGGGTATTCGATCTCTGCGGGCATTCTGCCGAACGGCGCCACGAGAGGCCGTGTGGCAGATAAGATCGAGGACAGCAATCCCAAGTTGAAGTTTGTAGGCACCTTTCCCCGCCCTGTGCTGTAACGAGTTCGTGAAGCGCACTGGCGGCAGCTGCTTCAGCGTTTTCCTCAGCACCTCAGCGACGGTGCCGTCCCCAAGTCCAATGCAGTCAGCCAGAGCTATTCCATCGAGTTCAGCTGTGACAGGGTCGCGCGCGAGTTTGCCCAGGAGTGCAACAGGGTAGGCATGAGCTGGACCGACCGACGGGATGGATCACAACATCATAGATGGATCATGTCAGACCTACCACATGACGTGCGACAGAAGAAGCGCGCCTTCCATCACCTCTGCGGCAATATCAAGGCGATGTGTGAGAACAGCGAGAGATGGGATGCATACACACGGCTCGGGGTTGACGACATCAGGGGCCAGCTTCGCATTTCTACAGACGAAGATGTATGGACCTTGGTTACAGCCACACTGAGTACCAAGAAAGGTGAAACCGACTTTTCCAATTGCACGCCGAACATCAAGGACTGTCAGGACTGGGGGATCTCGGCCGATCAGATACATGCCGCGATCGAGACCTCGCAGAAAGAGATGCTGGAGCAGGATCTCCGCTACATGTGACAAACTACCTCATGGACAGCACAGTCCCTTGGAACCAGGATCTCAGCTAGCTGCGGTCCGACCTCAAGAGGCCGCTCCTCGACTTCCTCGTGGAGAAGGGCAACTACTCCAGCGAGTAGCATGAACTCTTTTACTTCCTCATCCTCATCCTCATCCTCTGGATCATCGGCTTCCTTGAGGGGCAGCAGGAGCTCGAACTCCACCTCCCCTGGGTCCTCTTCGTCCTCTTCCTCGATTTCCTTTGGTTCTGCGAGTTCTGACTGCATCAGTTCTCAATTTTTTCTTGCGAACTGGTCTGGGAATGGTTAGCGGGAGTTGCCGCGCACACCCTTTGGGTCTATAAATGGAAACCTGAGGACACAGAGAAACACTTACTCTTCAGTCCAAACGCTTTCCGCCAAATATGGCATCTTAGCTCTCCAGGAGACTCGTGGGCACCGCGGGGACCTTTCGTCGCTACCTCGGGATATTCAATCGCGCCAGCATTCTGGTTCTTTCTGCAGTTCTGTGGGGCGAGGTGGAGTTGTGACCAGTGTGGCAAAATCTTTCGTCCAGCAATTCAGTGCAGTGCGCTTCCAGGCCCTGAAGAAAGGCCGCATCTCTGTTCTCACCCTCGCCTCTCCTGCTCGACGGCTTCACATCGTTAGCGTTCATTTCGTTCCTGGGCTTCCTGCGTCAGTGGTCAAACAGCAAATGCACATACTCAGAAACAGTATGTCGTCTACCTCTTCCTCAGCAGCCGTCTTTTTGGGGGATTTCAAATATCTTGAGACTGGGGAAGCTCGACTTCATGTGCACGACGGTGTCGAGTGGGCCTCTCGCAGCCGGTTCCCTGAGATGTTTCACGAGTGCTTCCCGGTGATGGGCGGAATGGTGCAATCGTCGTGCGCGCATCGAGCTCGCGCGTCGGGCGCCCTCGCCCTCGCTCGTCTGGATCGCATATATATATATATATACACACACCTACACGACCACTCTTCGGGTGATAAGGAGGTTCGGGGGGGAGGAACCAACGTCTCACTTGATCGGTCTCACTATCGATCTCACTATGGATTTCACTATCGGTCTCGTTCGATCGATTTCACTCGATCGATCTCACAACCGATCTCATTCGGACTATTTCAATCGATCGATCTCACAGTCGATCTGACTATCGATTTCACAATGGATCTCATTATCGATCTCGCTATCGATTTCACAATCGATCTCACAATCGGTCTCGCTATCGATCTCACTATCGATTTCACAATCGATATCACAATCAACGTCCGCCTCCTCATCCTCATTATCAACATCATCGTCATCGAGGTCATCATCATCATCATGACACCATCATCTTCACCTCATCACCATCATCATCAACCTAATCATCATCATCACCATCATCATCATCATCATCATCGGGACACCATCACCGTCACCATCATCATAGTCATCATCATCACCATCAGCATCGGAATACCATTATTATCATCATCGGAACACCACCATCATCATCATCATCTTCTCATCATCGTCATCATGAACAACATCATCAGCATCATCATCATCGGGACACCATCATCACCATCAGCAACATCATCATCAACAACATCATCATCATCGGGGCACCGTCATCATCGTAACCACTATCGTCACCATCATCACCATTATCAGGACATCATCGTCATCGTCATTATCCGCATCACCATCATCACCATCATCACCATCATCGGGACGCCATCATCAAACTCATCATCACCACCTCATCATCATCCTCACCAACAAAGTCATCATCATCTTCATCGTCATCGGGACACCATCATCGCCATCATCATCATCAGCAACATCATCACCATCATGACGCCATCATCATCGCCACCACCATCACCAACCTCATCATCATCATCATCATTGGGACACCATTGTCATTTCAGCGTCATCTGATCATCATCAACACCATCATGATCATCAACATAATTATTATCATCGGGACACCATCGTCATCTTCAGCAACATTATCATCATCATCGTCATCGTCATCATCATCGGGGCACCACCATCACCATGATCATCATCATCAACATCGTGAACATCATCATCATTATCATCAGGACACCATCATCACCACCACCACCATCATCACCATCAGCATCATCACCATCATCATCACCACCATCACCATCACCATCACCATCATCGTCATCATCATCATCATCATTATCATCATCATCATCATCCTCATCATCATCATCATCATCATCATCATCATCGGGACACCATCATCATCAGCGGTCCCACTGGGGGCTTCGATGGAGCTCCCTATGAGGTCACGAAGCGCTGTACTGGGTGTGTTAAAATGCGCAATTGGGCGTGGGGGGCGCATGCGGGCGGTCCCACTGGGGGCTTCGGTGGAGCTCCCCATGGGGCCACGAAGCGCTGTAGTGGGTGGGTGACAATGCCAAGTTGGGTGTGGGGGACGCATGCGGGCGGTCCCACTGGGGGCTTCGGTGGGGCTCCCTATTGGGCCACGAAGCGCTGTATTGGGCGGGTGAAAATGCCAAATTGGATGTGGAGGGCGCATGTAGGCGGTACCACTGGGGGCTTCGGTGGGGCTCCCTATGAGGTCACGAAGCGTTGTACTGGGTGGGTTAAAATGCGCAGTTGGGCGTGGGGGGCGCATGCGGGCGGTCCCACTGGGGGCTTCGGTGGAGCTCCCTATGGGGTCACGAAGCGCTGGTCTGGGTCGGTGAAGTGCCAAAGTGGGTGTGAGGGACGCGTGCGGGCGGTCCCACTGGGGGCTTCGGTGGAGCTCCCAATGGGGCTACGGAGCGTTGTGCTGGGCGGGTGACAGTGCGAAATTGTGTGTGGGGGACGCACGCCGGCGGTCCCACTGGGGGCTTCGGTGGGGCTGCGTATTGGGCCACGAAGCGCTGTAGTGGGTTGGTGAAAATGCCAAATTGGATGTGGGGGACGCGTGTGGGCGGTACCACTGGGGGCTTCGATGGAGCTTCCTATGGGGTCACGAAGCGATGTGCTGGGTGGGTGAAAGTGCCAAATTGGGGGTGGGGGACGCATGCGGGCGGTCCTTCTGGGGGCTTCGGTGGAGCTAGCTCTCTATGGGGCCACGGAGCGCTGTGCTGGGTGGGTGACAGTGCGAAATTGGGTGTGGGGGACGCATGCGGGCGGTCCCACTGGGGGCTTCGGTGGAGCTCCCAATGGGGCCGCGAAACGTGTGAGGGATGTGCCGAAATGGGTGTGGAGGACGCATGCGGGCGGTGGAGAGGAGGAGGGGGAGGAGGAGGACAAGAGGAAAGGAACGCGTGGACCGTCTCTTCAAAACGAGGACCCAACACCACAGGATGGTTGGGAAAAAGGATCAGCGGCCTTTTATGAAGCTCAGAGAAGTTCTGATTCCAGTATCGCTACCGTCATCGCACCTCGTCTTCGGAAGGTCCTGGGGAATATTTTGGCCGACGAAATGCGTAACGCTTCGGATTTGTCTCCTCGATAAACACAAACACCCGACGTATATCATCACCAGCGCTATCGAGAGTATATTCAATGCTTGGAACACGACACATCGATATCGACAAGCTATCGCCGTATGTAGGTATGGATGCGGCTGTGAAAATGGGGGCACGATGATGCATCATGCAGTATGCCCATCCATCGCCACCTTCATTCGCCGTCTCTTACCTCATCTACCCGTGAGCTGGGGATCTGAGCCGTTTTCTGTCCTTTTTCCTCAGCGTTTCGTCTTCGCCTCCATGCCTTGCCTTCTCTCCCATGCCACTGCTATCGATCGGTTGCATAATGTTTATCAAGCGGTGCGGGATCGGCCTGTCTCTGCAGCTCCTGCCCGCTCTGTGGTGCATGGTCGGCTGCGTGCTTCTGCCCGGCGCTCTCGAGTCATCCGTTCTGTTGCCTCTTCCCGCCCCGTTCCTGGGGGTCTGCAGACATTCCACTTCGTGCCCGACTTTCCGCGCCGCGCCCCAGGCAGCCAGTTGCCAGTTCGTCTGGGGCTGGCCTGCCGGCGGTCGCGCTCGCGCCGGCCTGGCTACTCTATAGTCCCGCAGTGCCCCTGGCAGCCAGTTGCCGGTTCGTCCGAGGCCTGTCTGCTGGGGGCCCGATCGGTGCTCTCTTCGAGCCTGCTCCGGATCAACTTCAAGTGGTCCACCTGACCCCAACTGGTGCAATCGATTACCGGCCCAGATTTGCGCCCACACTGAACCAGTGCGTAGTCTTCTTCACGCGAGGGGGGCCATCTGCTCTCCATCGAGGCTCGGGAGGACGGAGCCCACGGACATCCGCCCTCGTCTCGTCCCTCTCTTGTCTGCCTGCCCTCTCCTCTTTCAGGGGTGCGCCTCCTCATCTCTCCTCGTCCTCCTCGCACTCGTTCTCATCCCCTTTGGATGTGCACAGGGTTTTATGCGAAAGGCTGCTTTAGCGTTTGCCGAGTCTTCTTTCGGAAAGCCGGTTACGTGTTCTCAGGCTGCCTCTTCGGAGGAGGAGGAGGGAAAGCAGGAGGGCGGAGGAGGAGGAGAAGGAGGAGCAGGAGGGCGGAGGGGCTGGGAGCGGGAGGAAATTGCACAATCCGCAGTCTACAGGTCACGGTGACGACGCCGTGATGTAGTGATGCTCCCGCGACGACACCGCTGGCGCACCTCCCCCGTCGACCGGATCTGACCCCGAGCGATGGGCGTGGGAGGTCAACGGCCATGGGCCCTTCTGCTGCCTCTGCTGCTCCTGCTCCCGCTCCTGCTCCCGCTCTTGCTTCTGCTGCTGATTCGCTGCCCCTGGTGCAAGAGGCGCGGGGAGCATGGCCATGGAACCGCAGCGTGAGGCCACGTCTCGCTGATTGTGCCGTGGGCCTTGCCTGCCCGCTCGAGGACCGATCTGGGCCAGCTGCGGTCGTTTCGGATGGCTGCCCGTCCTGTCTGTGCTCTCTCCTCGACCCGCGGATCAAAAATCCAGTCTGTGCTCTCTCTCTCTCTCTCTCTCTCTCCCTCTTTCTCTTTCTCTCTCTGTATATATTCCGCAGCTGGTCAGGTCAGGTCCTTCTGCTCGCCCAGGGGGGCCTCTCCGCCCAGCACCGCCCGCTGCACAGCTCGGGTGAGGAGCAGGAGGAGGACTAGTGTAAGTGCAAGACCCCCAAGATGCATCAACGATTTCGCAATAAACATTCTCTTGAAGCTCCCTCTTCGTAGGTACCTGTCAGGTTTTTTGAGTAACGCAAAGCAGCGCAAACCAATGCGAAGCAATGCACAACAACGCAAAGACATGTCTTGCGATGCAAAGCAACGCAAAGCGATGCAACACAACGGAAAGCAAGTCCAAGCGACACAAAGAACAGCAGTGCGATGAAAACAGTGCAGTGTGATAGAAGTCAGTGCAAGTCAACGCAACGCAATGCAAAGCAAAGTAAAGCAAGACACAGCAATGCAAACCACTTCAACTCAATGCAACGCAATTCGCGTCTGTGCAAAGCGAAGCACTTCAATGCAATCCAAAACATCCCAAACGATGCAACGCAAAGCAATGCAAAGCAATGCAACGCAATGCAAAGTAATGCAACGCAATGCAAAGCAATGCGAAGCCACGCGAACCAATGCACAGCAATGCAAAGCATTGCGAACCAATGCAACGAGATACAAAGCAACGCGCCGCCAAGCAAGGCATTGCGAAGCAATGCAAAGAAATGCAATGCGATGGACAGCAATGTCATGCGATGCAAATCAATGCAAGTCAATGCATCGCGATGCACATCTATGCAAAGCAATGCACAGCAATGCAAGGCCATGCAAAGCAGTTTCCATCAGTGCAGAGCATGGTACAGTAATGTGAACTAGTTTCGCAAAGAAATGCAATGTCATCCAAAGCAGTGCAAAACCATGCAAAGCAGAGCAGTACAAAGCAATGCAAAGCTACGCAATGCATAGCAATGTAATGCAATGTAGAACGAAGCAAAGCCATGCAGAGCAGTGCAACGCAAGGCAGAGTGCGAGCCTCGCACAGTCAAAATCTTAACCAAGGATAGCGGCGACGAGCGGCCACACGCTGGCCGGATCGACAACCAGGCACAGTTCTTCAGAAGTAAGCCTCCAAGTGCAAGCACTGTTTGGGGAGCAAACTTGTAAGACGAATGTGCCCGGCGCCAAAGCGAGAGCAACGATTTGGAAACGACCCGCCCTCCAGTGAACCTGTTGCGAAGTTTTGCGCCGAATGCGCTCGGCGCGAAGGCGAGAGCCACATCTTGAAAAGGACTTGTCCTTTATCCGTGAAGCTGTTGTAGTTGCAAACTTGTAAGACGAATAGGCGCGGCGCCAAGGTGAGAACCACATTTCGAAAACCACCCGCTCTCTGTCCGTGAAACTGCTGTAAGCCCTTAAGACGAATGTGCGGGGCGCTGCAGCTAGAGTCACATTTTGAAAAACCACCTGGATTCTATCCTTACTGACGCAAAGTCGAAGCTTCAGGATC